CTGGCTATCATCATCGCCTTCAAAGCGTGGAGATGTTATCTCAAAGGACGAAGAACAACCGTCTACACCGACCACTGCAGCCTAAAATACTTGAAGACACAACCCAACCTTTCCAGGCGGCAGGTCCGGTGGATCGACTTCCTCGAGACACACTTCCACTACGACATCGTGTACAAGCCCGGTCACAAGAACAAAGCAGACGCTCTTAGCCGGCCTGCACACGTTGCCGCTATTCAGGTCGAAGGGGTGAATCCACTACTCAAGGGACTCTTCACACACGGGTACGGCACCGACCCCGAAATTCCCTTGGCAGAAAAGCGACATCTGCTACAGTGGGACAGTGACATCGCGTATCGGAAAGGATCAACGAAAATCTGGGTACCCAATTACCCTCCTTTGCGCCAGTTACTACTCGAAGAATACCACGACGTCCTCTACGCCGGACACTTCGGTAGCAACAAGACGCTGACCGGTATCGCAAAGCACTACTACTGGCCCCACTTAGCAGAAGATGTCCAGAAATTCGTCACCTCGTGTGATACATGTCAGCGGATGAAGAGCAGCAAGCAGAAAAAGGCGGGACTACTGCAGCCTCTTCCTGTCCCAGAACAACCATGGCAAGTGGTTAGCCTGGACTTCATCACTGGGTTACCACCTACCTCCAGCGGTCATGACGCCATCCTTGTCGTCATTGACAAGTTCTCCAAAATGGGACACTTCATCCCGACACACACGACAGCACGCACTGAAGAAACAGCACAACTCTTTGTTCGATACATCATCTCACAGCATGGCATTCCAACCACACTCATCTCCGACCGAGACCCTAAGTTCACCAGCAAGTTCTGGAAGGAACTTATGTTTCTTCTCGGGACCAAACTCGCCATGTCATCTGCTTACCATCCGCAGACAGACGGACAGACCGAGCGCCTCAACCAAATTGTTGAGCAACTCCTCCGAGCAGCCTGCAAGGACGAGATCTTCAAATGGGACTTGTACCTGCCCGTACTAGAGTTCGCTTACAACAATGCTACACATGCCACTACTGGACAGACGCCGTTCTTCCTCTGCTACGGACGCCACCCACTCACACCACAGAAACCGACAACATCAGCTATAGTCCAACCAGCACATGATTTCATCACAACCATGCATCAGCTTTGGGATCGGACCCACAAGCGCCTACTCGACATTCAACAGCAACAGAAGCGCCAAGCCGATCGCCATCGCAACGATCACACCATCACGGTGGGAGACCAGGTGCTTCTTGACACCCGCAACCTGGACATCAGCCATCTCCCATCTAAACTTCGACCTCGCTTCTGCGGGCCTTTTCTCGTTGAAGCACAGGTCACTCCTGTTACCTTCCGCTTACGCCTGCCAGCTACCTGGAAGATTCACAACGCCTTCCACGTCCAACTTCTGAAGCCCTATCGGGACCCGAACACGATTTTCGTCGGACGCCAACCGCCGCCGCCACCGCCCGTCCTCGTCCAGAATGAACCCGAGTACGAGGTCGAGTCCGTGCTCGCACACCGCCGTCGTCGGAATGGCACCGTGGAGCTTCTCATCCGTTGGAAGGGTTATGATCCTTCTGAGGACAGCTGGGTACCTGAGTCCGACATGGGTAACGCCCGTCGTCCTCTGCATGACTACCTTGTCAAGCAGGGTGTTACTTCTACCACCCAGCTTTGAGGGGGGGAAGTGTGAGAGTACGACCTCGTTACACCACTTGGCCTTTTCTTATTTCCTTCCTTTTTCATTTCTCTTTTATTCCATCTCATTTGGTTTCCTATTCTTCCTTTTCCATTAACCTTTGGTTTATCCTGCTATTATAATTATATCACCGATCAGGCTTGGGATGTACTGGTGCGCTCTATCTAGCGTAATCCTGCTTTAATCCCTTAAAGCCAATAGCCTCGCGTGGCTATACGCAGAGTGATTCTATCTTTTAGAAGGGTCTATTCCCTTAGGATAAGATAAACCTGGTTACCTGATGTACTCTGGAAGTATAAAAGCGCCTTGTACTGATCGAAAGTGCAACCTTTCCTCGACACATTCGATCCTGTGACACTGGTGGCTTCCGCATGTGCAATGTGTATTACCCCACTCCCAAGGCCCAACATGTACCATTTTCTGTTCGTTTTATCCCACCCTCCAGAGAGGCACTGGCAGCTAAAGCAGCGGCGGATTCCTTGCCAGCGTTCAAGATAATTGATGATGTCATCAAGGAGCTCACTGAGTACTTCAGAAGCTCCGGCCCATGGCACCAGCGCTTCTTGGAATTGCAGGATATCTTCACCTCGACGAAGCTCGAACTTCAAGGCATTCATAACATCCGATGGCTCTCCCGCAATGAGGCTGTCATTAGGTTAGTCAAGGTTCTACCCGCCATCGTTGTCATGCTCTCGGAGTGGACGGACACCGGGCTCTCCAGGATAGTGACAAGCTACCGCTTCTGGTTCCTTGTCATGTTCCTTGCTGACGTACTGGAGCAGCTAAACTTCCTCAACAATTCCTTCCAGGAGCGTCAGGTGAGTTCTTCGTTACCGTGACATTGAGTCGTTACTAAATCACCTTGGTTATGTATATACACCTTCCCCGCCCTTCCTCCCCTCCTCCCCCTCTTCCCCGCCCCAACCTCAGTTGGAGTACTCGGCCGTCAACACGCAGATCATCCGCACAACAACCCTGCTGCAGAGCCGTTACGGGGACGGCGAAGACTTCGGCGGGGGACCGAAAGACCGTCTCACCATCTTCCTCACCCGTCACGGCCCGGGCGGTTCTCGCGAGGTCACCGCTGAGGGCGTCGACTTCGACGGCCGTCTGGCTTCCTTTACCTTTGTGCTGCATCAAGATCGCTTGCTCGGTTATCCGGGGGAGGGCGATCACGACGCGTGCGAGGATTTCTGCGTGGCCATGGCGACAGGCATGGTGTCGAACTTGAAGGAGCGGCTGGGTGATCTGGGAAAGCTCTCTGGCTGCCGCCTCTTCTCTGTCAACCTCCGGCCCCCTAACTGGGAGAGAGCTGCACGCAGGCCCAGTGCCTTGACTGGCTCTTCTCCCTCGTTATTCTTTACCGCGCAGATGAGGCAGAGGAGATTCTTCCTGGCATTGACAAGCGGGCAGCCATAAGGGAGGTGCCTCATTTCTGCCCCGTCATTGTTGCTCTTCCCCGGGCCGACCGAAGCTTTCACGCTGGGCTCACGGCCATGCTGAAGACACCTGACTAGCAGGATTCTTACCCAAACCTGATGAAGCTGTGGATGGCGGTGGCAGTGCTTCCTCTCAGCATTGTGGAGTGTGAGCGCGGATTCTCTTGGCAGAATGTGATTAAGAGCTGGCTGCGTGGCAGCCTTAAAGACACTAGGCTTAGTGACCTCATGTGCATGTCATTGTTAGACTACGATCCGGACTATGATGCTGTGGTGGAGATATGGCGCGCTTACAAGAAGCGTAAGCCCTTCAACAACACCTCTCAGGCCAAGCAAGACAGCTCGAAGAAGGGGAAGGGAGTAGCAGAAGAGGCAGGGGGTGGTGTAGGTAGTGACAATGTAGTCAATCTTGATAATTTCGAGTAAAGTTCTTTGCTTCTCAATTTCCTCTTCATTTTGCCAAGCAGGGAAAAAACTACATCTATCTCTGTCCATGCAGCATTTTTGTCCCACACAATCCTGACCCCTAAGCAGGCCCCTAGATATCAGACTTTTTACGCTGATTCAGCCTTTTTTCAGGGTTTTGGGATAGGGTAATGCTGATTGGCTGGCCTTTTTTCAGAGGTGAATGCTGATTGGAAAGTTATTTTGAAATGTTGAAGTCTGTTTTTTCAGAGTTTTGGTAGAACTGTACGCTGTTGCATCAGCGGAACAATAGGGTGAGACTCTGAAACCGAGTACAGCGAGAGTCCCCCCTTCCGCACCCCAATCTACGTTTTCAGCGACACACACCCCTAAAATTTTGTCTAAGTCCTCCGCAACCAGTCACATCCCTCTCACACCCCCCCCCTTTCAAATCCCGATAAATTTGTCGAAGTCTTCCGCAACCAGTCATGTCCTTCAACTCCCCCCCTGCAATCCCGATAAAGTTGTCTAAGTCTTTAGCAACCAGTCACATCCCTCTCACAACGCCCGCAATCCCGATGAATTTGTCCTTAGTCTTCCTTAACCCGTCACACACCCCTCAAGTACCCCCCCGCAATCCCAATAATCTCAATAATCCCTAAGTCTTCTGCAACCAGTCACGTCTCCAAATACCCCCTGGAATCCCGATATCCTTCACCCCCCAAATCTCGTATACCATCTGAAAACTACCCCTAAACAAACAACGAAACCAACTCATGGGAAAACCAGCATGTTTCCTCCCACACCCCCTCAGAGTAATTCTGGAGCTCGTGTTCGACACTAGTGTCATGCTGGAACACCCGAGGTGGAAAAAAAAAAGCCTCTGGTCTTACAACTCCTGATGGCTGCTCGACTGGAAACACGCGAATGGCTCTGTAGGCGCACGACTGTCAAAGTCACTAGACCCAAGGTTGAGCTTGTAAATCCCGTGGCTCCTTCGACAGCGGGTCAACCTCGGGTCAGACCCAAGGTGCGGAATACACTCACGCACAAGCCACAAATGCAGCAACAACTTCAAAAGGAGTCCCTCTCGCCCGCACCCACCCAAGCTCTAATCAGCCCTCGCCAGTCACGCCCCGTAATCTGGTGCGGGGCATGTCAAGCTGACGCGCAAACACACAGGGATTGTTGCTTCACCAAAAAAATCTCGCGTTAGCCAATCCTTTACACTGCAGAGTTTTCTTATAGGCTAAGGCTGTTTGAAAAGCAAAAAAATATTGAGCATCTCTGTTTTTTCAACGTTTTTAAATGGGGGAAGTCTGCGACTTCAGCCAAAAGCACGGGGTCAGGGATGATCAATCAGCGTGCCTCCAAATGAATCTAGGGGCCTGCCCCTAAGCAAAAAAAATTGGTGACCTCTGAAAATTCAGGGAAAAAGCCAGGGGTAGTCCTTTGCAATCAGGATGACTTAAAACCAACCAACTCTGATTTCCAGGGTGTTTTTTGAGACCAAAATTGATAAATCAGCGTGAACTTAAACATATCATAGGGCCTGGTACAGTACCATAGATATCATACCGTGTCTCGGAGTAGAGTGATGGCAGCAATAACATCAGCGCAGGCACTTCGACGGATTCTACACCTCATTACGACACTGCAATAATAATTGAACTCCATCATCACCGTATGACCTGCTGCCTTGAGTCTCTAAGACTGCTGCTGCACATGACATCCCATCCCATCCCCTCCCCACCTCTGCCACACCTCGTATTGCACCGATGCGGAACGGCAGGCACCTCTCCAGTGCACGCCCACCAGCTCCACCACACCAACGTGCCCCCCCTCCACCTCCACTGGCTTGCCCCAACTGTGCGCCACCTCTCATCATTCATCCCTCATCCATCACCGCATCCCCCATCATCTTCACGCCTGCGCGGAACGTCAGCTCTCTCTCCAGCACGAGGCCCTCCACGTTCACTCGGAACATCAGCCCCCCCTGCAGACTGCTGCCCGCTCCACAAGCGCTAACAAGGTGGCTCCACACCCCTTGTCATCACATCACGCCCGTGCGCCGCATCCAGCATCATTCATCGCTCACCGCTCACCGCTCACCGCTCACCGCTCACCGCTCACCGCTCACCACTCACCGCTCACAGCTCACCGCTCATTACGTGACGCCTGCGCGGAAGGTGAGCTCTCTCTCCAGCACGGGCTCCTCCAGGTTCACTCGGAACGTCAGCTCCCTCTGCAGCTCCGGCGGCGCCTCACACTCCTCCGCCTGCTCCGCCTCTTCCCCCCCCCCCTGTTGCTGCTGCTGCTGTTGCTGCTGAAACCTAATAGAACCCCTGCCACCACTCCCTGCAGGTGGCCCCATTCCCCGCGGCCCTCTCCCTCCTGGCCCTGACATACCCCTGCCACTGGCAGTAGTGCCACCACGGCCACCTGCAGCCTGTGACCTCCCCCTTCCCATCTCGCCTCCCCCCCTCCCCGCCTCTGCCCCGCCCCTCAGCAGCTTCCTGCCTGCACCCGCTCCCTCCAGCCCCTCCAGCCCCTGCTGACCCCGCTGCACCTGCTGCCCCTGCTGCCCCTGCTGCCCCTGCTGCCCCTGACCCACTCCCTGTGGCCCCTCCTTTCTCGCCCCTGGCACTGCCCCTGCAGCAGCCCCGCCGCTCCAGAAGAAGTCATCTCCGGGCGCACTGTAGAACTCTGCTCCTGCCTGCGACTCTGAGCTCGTCCGCCTGTGCCGCCCGCCCATGCCGCCTCTCCCGCCCCTGCCGCCCACGCCGCCGACCATGCCACGGGCCATGCCTGGTCCTCTGCCTCCCCTACCCCCCGGACCGACAGCAATACCAACACCGCCCGCACTGCCACTGCTCACTCCTCCTATTCCAGATCCCCCTATTCCTCTGCCCACGCCTCCTCGCCCGCCTCCTGGTCCCCCTGCTGGTCCCCCTGCTGGTCCCTCTGCTGGCCCCCCTGCTGGCCCCCCACCTCTTCCTCCCATTGCTCCTCTCGCCGCTGCTGCCACTGGTACTGGTGCTGCCCTGTGCACGCCATTGCCATTGTCCCTCCCCCTCTCCCTCTCCCTCTCGCCCTCCTCACTCCCACTGAAACTCACTCGACTGTTCTCCCCATCACTCCCACTCCCACTCCCACTCTCACTCCCTCCCGACCGTAAACTCCCAGGACTGGCGTCCCTGCTGCCCCCTCTTCTCCTCCGCTCCCACTCCCTGCCTCTCTCCGCGCCTCCCCCCACCCCTTCCGCTTCCTCCTCACTGTCACTCCCCTTCCTTCTCCCCCCGCCGCCCCTTCGCACTCTATCCAAGTCCTCATACAACGCGTCTACTCTGTCCCTCAACCCATCATCGTCATCACCACCAATCCCGTTTCTGCCATACTCTTCGTCCCTAGCCCCTCTCCCCTCCCCTCTCCTGAGTCCACCCTCATTCACTACATCCATAGCAGGGCGTCCCAACCCCCCACCCATCCATCCCGACCCTTCGTTATAGTCACGAATCTCCCTTACACTCCCTCCAATAACACCTCCCCGTCCCCTAGCAGCACCTTCCCCACGTCTCGCCTCCTGCACACTCAAGAACCGCCCTCGCCCCGGTGCTGCCCCCAGCACTCTCCCCCCTGCCGCCCCCCTGCCTCCGCCCATCCCCCCTGTTGCGCCCCCGCCGCCCTGCCCGCCAGGCGCAGAGCCCCACTCTTCCTGCCCCCCTTCCACGTCGTCCTGCATGGAGGTGAAGTCCGTGGTGTGCAGGAAGCCCATCTGGGACTCCGAAAACGCGCGGTGGTGCGCCCGCCCTCGCCCCCGCCCCCCCATTCCCCCCGTCCCCCCCATTCCCCCCATTCCCGCCCGCCCGCCCCTGAACGCCAGCTCTCCTCTGCCCTCCCCGCCCCTGCCTCTCCCCCTGCCCCGCGCTGCTGGTGCCCCATCCGCGCCCCTCCCTGGGGGACCACCGCCGCCACCAGCAGTGGCAGCTGGGGAAGCAGCAGAGGGAGCAGGCGCAGTGGCAATCCGACCCGCCCCGCTTGCACTGGACGACCTCCCCACAACCCTCGCTGGAACTGCCACCGTCTCTTCCGCATCCCCATCCTCGTCACTACAACTACCACTGCCACTGCCGCTGCCACTGCCACTGCCACTGCCGTTGCTGTGGCCGCGAATCTCCCCTCTAGTTCCTGCTGCTACCCGCGCATCACCGCCGCCGCTTCCGCTGCTGCTACCACTGCCGCCCACTCTACCGCGTGCACCCATACCCACATTCCCACCCATACCCATACCCATTAACCCCCCCATGCCCGTACCCATGCTCACGCCCATACCAGAGCTCGGAGCCTGGGGCGGGGAACGCCCGGATCCCCCCAGCCCTAGCCCCGCTCGTCCTGCCCCCCCTGCTCCCCCTGCGGGCCCTCTGCCTGGCGTCAGTGCCCCGCCGGTGGGCGAGCCGACGTGCAGCGCGATTTCCTCCACGGGCGTCGACAGCGACCGCCGGTGCCACGGCCGCGACCCCCCCTGCGCCCCCGGCGGAGCCCTAGCGCCGCCTCCGCCACCCGCGGTAAATGAGGAACCACTAGCGGCAACAGCAGCAGCACCGCCACTACCGCTACCCCTTCCGCTACCAGCGACGCCCCCATCGCCACTAGCGCCGCGCGCAGAATTACCCGCGGGCCCGCTGCTTCCCGCAGAGGCGCGCGGATCCCTGGTCGGCGCAGCGCCGTGAGCTGGCGCGCGGGAGAGATTTCCTGATCGGGACTGCGAGAGCGCGTGTGGGGAGGCGGAGAGGCCCCCTGACAGACCCCCCGACGACGACGACGGTTCTATGACGGTGCGCGAGTCGAACGATGCGCCTCGCCGGTGCTGCCGGCGGGCTGTCGGGCTGTCGACGGACGGGCTCGACCCCGCGTAGGGTGCGGGGTTCGCGCCGGGCGGGCGCGGGGGCATGCGCAAGGGCGCATGCGCCCCTTCCCCGTTTTTCATCCTTTGCGGTCTCAGCCCGGCCCTGCCGCCTACGCGGTCGGCGCTGGTGTCGGAGATCGAGCTGCGCACCGAGTCCTGCCGGCCCACGCGCTGTGGACTCTCCTCCTCCTCGTACTCCTCCCCGCCCTCCTCCTCCTCGTCCGCGCCTATAACCCCTCCTGAAAAACTCGTCGAAACTGCTGGGTGATTCCCCCCTCCCCCTCCCCCTCCCCCCGCCCCGCGCATTGGGGCCCCGCGCAGAGCAGCGGGACGCGGGCCGACCGTGATGGGTGCCTGGTAGGAGCGGCTACTCGACACGCCTAATCGACTGCTCCCGTCGCTCTCGTGTGAGTTTGAGTTTGGCACCGCGCGTACCGGCGACCGTGCATGCTGCTGCATCTGCGACGGCGACTGCTGCTGCTGCTGCTGCTGCAGGAAACGCGGCTGCTGCATCGGCGGAGACGGTTGCTGCTGCTGAAACCCTTCACGGGAAAACGGGTCCGGCGAAAAATCCATGGAGCTCGCCGCCTGGCCACCGCTGAACGACATCGCCCTGCGATGGTTACCTGTCGCACGCTGTGGACGCACGAATCCCCGTAGCGGGGCCCCCTGCGTCGGTGGTAACCCTGACTGAAAGTCGTCGCCAGGTACTCCCCCTCCCGGCCGGTAGCCTGACATTGTTTTTCCTAGAGCGCGCCGAGCTTCGGCGCCGTCAAGCTGCCGGCCGGAAAAGGTGTTGCTGTTGGCGAGAAGACGGCTACGCGGTGAGTCGCTGGAGATTGTTGCTACTGTAGGAGCAGGTTTTGACTGAGTAGGGTTCGACTGATGAGGGTCCGACTGAGGAAATGACCTTCTGCGATTGGCTGGCACTTGCTGGACCCCATTCCTGGGATCTGCGAGCTGCATCGACCCTCGATAATATCCGTCGTTGTCGTCCATGGCTGATTGGCTGGGTGACTACAGTGGTCGCGACACGGAGTCGCATACGAATACCGCGACGCAAGCTTTTGCGTCACCGCACCGCAAGGATATGTGCAGAGGCTGAGCGTCCCCGAGTCTTGACTCCTGAATCCTGACTCTAGACAAAAGGAGAGTTATCCGAAAAGTTTCTGAACAACTGAACTTCACGCTGTGGATAAGGAACCTCGAGATTGACAGCGAAAGCGAGGCCCTCTAGGGTTGGTCGGGTTTGGGAACCTGTGGGCGAGGGTGGAACCTAGAGAGCTGTGCGTGGGCGTTCTCGGCCTGTCTGTTTATACGAGCGGACGGCGGCGATGTCGACTGGGATGAGGGCGAATATCCTACGGACAAGACATAGCCAGGGGGAAGGTTTGTTGCTAGTCTTCTTTGTTGATTGTGATGGGCAATTTGAAAGAGCTATATTTCTACCGAAGCTACTTATATTGCTTTCGGCGACTGTGTATCTCGCGACAACAAATTCTTGGCATCGTACGACGCCGAGCTGGGCTGGCGGCGACAGGAGCGGAAGTCGTCTGTAGTGCAAAGCAAGTCGCACACCGAATAGGGGTCGCCTGGTGGAGGGAACAACCATTAATGTCTCGATAAAAGCTTCCGGTAATACTTTCTGTTGGTTGCTACCAGCGCTAATTCTGTACACTAAAGAGCTGTTTTCGGATCAACAAAGTATTCTTGTAGGTTTTCTAGGTTCCCGCGCAGATGTGGCCGACCGAGCCGCAGAAGAAGGAGCTATTCTTAGCCGTACGATTTTTTGGACGTTTTCATCGTCCGGGCACGAGGCCCATGGGCCTCGTGACTAGGCTAAACCAAAGGTTTGCTCGCGACGCGCCATCGCTTGTTCTGGTTGGCTCTTGAAGTTTTCGGCAAGCCCCACAAAGTTTTGGCGCACAACGAGCCCGCTGCGCGTTTTGGTCCGGTGACCTCGAGATTGGTGGACCATTCCCTGACCACTAGCTTCATTTCCAAACCGCGTTCCGCCGCCCCGCCATGCCCTGCTCCGCTCCGCCAGAACCTCACTGCGCGCTTCCCCATTCTCTGCATGTGTTCCCCTTATTGCGCTTGTTCCATTCCGCTCCGCCAGTCTGGTCGCCTGGTACAGCCAATCCAGCAGCACTCGAGGAACCCTGGCCCCTGCGCCCGGCGACAGCGAGAAAAGCGCCCCTCCTGCCCCGCGCCAAGCCACGCACAGCCTCGAGAATAGCACCAGGTAGAGAGGTTTGACGCAAGCAAGCTAGGATAAATGCCACTTTCAGAAGAAAGCCCGAACAGACACTGCTCAGTCCTCAGTTGGTCAGGTCAGCAACACCACTCTTCTGATCACTAGGTTACTGTTCTGGAGTGCCCATTCAGCGGCGACTAACTCCTTCTTTCGATTGTCTGTTGCTCTTCGCTGACACATTGGCCCTGGTAGTAGGTCTGCTGCAATGGCGACTAAGCTTCTCGCGTCGGTCCCTTTGGCCAAGGCGGCGTCGAATGTAGATGAGTTCGAGAAGCTACGAAGCAACTCCTTCATTCAGCGGACAGCCAGGAGTTTGACGATCATTCAGGCTGCTTGCATCGTCGTCTTCGTGATAGTTATGTAAGTTTTGTGCGACATCGAGCATGACATTCGCAACGGAGACTGGATGGAGTTCTAACTTTAACACGTGCCTTTATTTCAGGGGTTTCGGAGTCATGAGACATGGAGGGCCAACGCAAAGTGCGGTGGGCGCTTCCTCCGACATGGATGCCACGACGTGGGGCGGATCCGTGTGGGAAGATCAAGTCAGGTCATCCGCGGCTACTCGCGGAAGTGGGATGGTGGTGCTCGTGACAGGCGCCGCAGGATTCGTTGGCTCGCACACGTCGCTGGCTCTGAAGAAGAGAGGCGATGGCGTCGTTGGAATAGACAATTTCAACAACTACTATCCCGTCGCCCTCAAGCGCGCCAGACAGGAGCGGCTACTAGCTAATGGAGTGTAAGCGTCCTTTCCGTCTCAACTTCCCGGTTTGACCGTTTATCTTTTCATCCCTGACCTTTACTCGTCGACGTGACCGGTGCAGGTTCATAGTAGAGGGCGACATCAACGATCAGCGTCTTTTGGCCAAGCTCTTCGAGATCGTCGGGGTCACGCATGTTCTTCATCTTGCCGCTCAGGTACAGTCCGAAGCGAGAGTCGCAAAACACGGAAGCTTCGTCGCAAGTTCAGTGAGCTCCTCATTCAAAGCACACTGATCGTGTCCTGCCTGAACATTGCAGGCCGGTGTGCGGTACGCCGTTCACAATCCACTGGCGTACGTTCAGAGCAATGTCAACGGGTTTGTCACCCTTCTTGAAGAGATTAAGGTGAATATTTTCCGCTTGCTCTTTTCGTCGTCTTCTCTTCCTGGGCGCAGTTGGCATTGAACTTACGCCTCTTTCGATTTCCGTGTCACAGAAAGCTGACCCGCAGCCTGCAGTTGTCTATGCGTCGTCGAGTAGCGTATACGGTTTGAACTCTAAAGTGCCGTTTTCTGAAGAGGATCGGACGGACCGGCCTGCAAGCTTGTACGCCGCCACTAAGGTACTGAGGGGCTTACTTTCGAGCCTGAAATGTTTTCGAAACGCTTTTTGGCTAGTAGTGACTGTCATCAATGTCGACGACTTATTCCTGCCTATCCTGTTTCGTCGCCATGTACGCAGAAAGCGGATGAGGTCCTGGGACACACCTACAATCACATCTACGGCCTCTCCATCACTGCTCTTAGATTCTTCACTGTCTACGGCCCATGGGGTCGCCCAGACATGGCGTACTTCTCCTTCACACGGAACATCATGGACGGAAAGCCCATCAAGATCTTCCGCGGACCCAAGGGGGAGGAGCTGGCTCGCGACTTCACGTTCATTGACGACGTGGTGAAGGGCTGCCTCGCCTCGCTCGACACCGCCTTGCCGAGCGTCGGCAGCAAGGGGAAGCGGCGAAAGGCTCAGTTCCGGGTGTACAATCTCGGGAATACCCAGCCGGTTAAGGTTGGGGATTTCGTTAGCATCCTGGAGAAGCACCTGGAGGTCAACGCCATTAGAGAGTAAGTGATCCTTCTGTCAACTACCCCCTTCATGCGCTTGCTCTGGTTGAAGTTCTGTAATCTGATATTTCGGTTTGATGCTGTCTGCAGGGTTGTTCAAATGCCAAGCACTGGGGATGTAATGTTCACGCATGCCAATGTGACAAGAGCAAAGAATGATCTTGGGTGAGTTGGGTGGTGCACATGCTTTTTCTCTGCTCTGCTTTCCATGCTCTTCAATCATGTCCTTCACATGGTTGTTGGCCTGCTTTCTGACCATCTACTGCTTTCTGTCCATGGTCTGACCATGAACTACCTGCTGTTGCTATTGCAGATATAGCCCATCCACAGATCTTGAAGTGGGACTGAAAAAGTTCGTGGATTGGTACCAGGTTTACTACAAGAGAGGCAGCAGCCACGAGCAATCACTGCAAGGATACAAGCCATATTGATGCTCGCAGATGATGGATGCAGCATTGACACACCACTAATTGATTTGTGTAGGTCACTGACTGACACTTCTGCAGCGAGATTGTCTTCAGCTGTGTTGGGCTGAGAAAAGCCCTTAGGATCTTTGCAGAGACTAAGTCCCAGCTGTAGAGACTTGAGACTTGGAGTAGTGCAGCGGAAGTTGAGACAGTTGAACCCTTGTACTAGTATGTGAGAACAAGTGATTGATTAAAGAAACAAGCATACAGCAATATATAGAAGATAAGAAAGCAGTTGTAGAATACAGTTACAGGAACGGTTTATCGAGTCGCACAGCGACTCGATTGCCGCTTCGGTTACCATCCGTGATGTTGTAACGGTCAGTCGCAACCTCCATTTGCGACCTTTCGGGTCCTTTCGTATTCTTTGTCCGCCCCCTCGTGTAACCTCCGTTGACTCGCGTGCTCCCCTGTAATCTTCCTCGAGTACAGTGTTACACTTCAGAAACGCTTAAGTACTTGAGATATTTCCAACAAGCTGCCTGACCTTCTAACTTGGCACATCAGCCTAACGTCCTGACCAGGTGGCATGCTAGCATAGAAGTAGGTCCTCCCCACTTTCATTTGTTGCAACCTAATAACAATGTCATTTCGATTATTTGTGATCAACAATCCTTTTTTTTCAGAGGAGTATGGCGTTCTTCCTACTAAGAATGAATTATTACAAACTATTGCAACATATTTGTATTATACTAATCTATACATGAAGGAAACTTCGGTGTTCATAAGTGTAAGGTAAGGTCAACCGCAGTTATCTCAGCAACCGCTGCACTCCAAGGTTCAGAATTGGTCTCGCCTTCTCTGACAACCACAGCTTCCCTCTCCTCTCCGCCTAGTTGGGATTCCTCTCCATGGCTGCTCGACCGCTGACGCTTCAAAAGAAGCAGCCCTCGGATTTCCGCCAGCAGCGCAGCGCGTTTATCCTCAGGTTCGACACACCCGTTGCTTTCCTTCGTAAGCCCGCTATCCGCTGACGGAGCGTTGCCTTTTCGTGACATGAAGTCGTGCCATTGGCTGGTTGAGTCGTGCTCGCTCGAAGAAGCCTGTTTCGTGCAGTTCGCGAGCCGTGCAGAAGCATTCACTAACAGATCAGCCTCCCCTTCGAGTCGGTCGCATGGTTTCGCTCGTGCAGCCCTGTGCGCAGTAGGATGGCTCCGCGTGCTCTTGTGCGGGCTGCTCCTTTGCGTCCTCCTCTTGCCGCTGTGCGCCGATTTGTGACCACCCAGGGCGTGCACCGTCGCGAACCGAATCTGACACACGGAGCACACGTAGGGCAGGTCGAGAGCGTCTCCGAGTCGGAAAGGCAGCTCCGGCGAATCGTGAAGATCCAACGCAGAAACTAAGCCGTCGAATCCGGCAGATTGCTGCGGTACGGCTCGATGCGACTTCTCGTGCGGAACGTTCTTCAAGGGTGAGAAGCTCTCGTTATCCGCAGAGGCGGCGCGCGGTTCCCTCAAGCCCGCGAAGTCCGCGGCTTCCCACGAGTAGGCACGATGTCGCAGGCATAGATCGTTGAAGTAGCCGTTCCACGTGGACCGCCTCCCTAACCCGCCGCTTGCCGGCTCGTCACGAGCGCAGGAGCGCGGGAGGGCCACCAGCTCCTCCCACAGCGTCGCGCTCTCGCGCGCTCGCTTATTCCCCGCGGCGTGAGAGGAGTCCCGCAAAGGGTCGTGAGAAGGATGGTTGGTGCTGACACTCACTGGCGTTCCAGAGATCTGCGACCTCCACATATTATTCACTCTCACTGCGACGCACGGATTTATCGGTGGGGGGTTTCTACGCGAGACAGGGGAGGAGGGATGATGGAGAGTGCAGTCTGCTAGCGGAGTGTTGGTTAGGCTTGTTGTGGCGGTGGACAGTAGCGGCATTCAGAGTGAGATCGCCCAGTGCAATAAGTGAGACAGACGCCTCAGTCAGTTTTTTTAGAAGGTCCTGATAAAGCATGCATGTGGCGCGAGAGCCGGTTGGGATATACAAACGAGAGGCACCGCTCGCAGAGCTGGTGGGAGGTTGGAACGGGAGAGGTTATTCCCAAGGTATGGGAGTGGCGGCCTGCTTCTATCTGCTACAAATCGATGAGTGGATCCAGCTTCTTAGGCCGCGTGCAGCGCCGTTGGAACTCGTGAGCTCTCACAGCTCAGGCGACTGGCGAGGTGACTGGTCAGCAGCAGGCAGCACGCGACGGACGACTGCGTAGTGACAACACGATGCCGCGGCCTACACGCTCCTAAGCCGCGGAATGATTGAACGAGCTAATGAGAATGATACAGCATGTGAAGGATGCCGCTTAGACGCGTGGTTGCTCGGTCGCCGTGGATGGAGTGGTGGTGACCTCGAGTTCAACCGCGACTTCAGGCCAAATCACCGAGGGCAGTCACTGCATATCTGATGGCCCACTTGCTGTGCTGCTGGAAAGCTGGAGCCTAAGACGGTGTTGGATGGACGAGCTCTCTTTCTTAGGGCGCGGGACATCCAATTCGAGAACGGCGTGAATTTCTGGGTGGTTACTAATTTTGCAAATTTCGTGAAGACACTTCGCGTGTCGAAAAATTCCTCGCTCAAATTAATAATGGCCATGGAGGATGCGTCACGAATTCACTCGTTCGAACGGCAACTCCGCCACTTACGAACTGCCTAACCCAATGGCGATCGGCGAACTCACGAAAACCTGCCGCGGGGTGTCCGCGACGCTTTGTATGCTGGCGAAATGTCACTGGGTTTCGCACAAATTCGAAGTAGGCACACCCACCGTCACCCGAATCGTAAACGGATCAAGACTGGGGTCAATGTACCTTCACATGCGTCGACCGTCCCGGGTTACAACAAATTCGCGCACCTGTCCTCGCGAAACTAGCGGGAGGTTAAAGTCAAGTTACTTCTCACCAAATGAATCGAATGTGAACTATTTGGACCCACCCCCACTCCACCCCCCCCCCCCCCCCCCCCCCCCCACCTATGAATTTCAAAGCTTGGAACGTCACAGGTTGGCAACTACCAACATGGATGGTTCGGCAGGTGGTTCGAACCATCGTTGGAATGGTTCGTACTGCCCAAAAATACGTAATGGTTCGGAATTTGAAGTAACGCAATCGATGTCCCGCGCCCTTAGTCTCTTTCTTGTTGTGAGCGAGATTCTTCCCGTGGGACATGAGATTGTCCTGGTGAAAATGGCAGCCATGGTTGACGATTAGCTCTAGTTGCATCACGCAAGGCCTCAGGCCAACGCCAGCACAGCGACCACATTGAATGCGGTCGCCTGGTCGCCAGGGCTTACCTTAGGGTTTTCGTCCACATGGCAGATCCGGGTATCTATTTCGAGGGATCCGGATTAACGGGTTTATGTAAAATAATACTCGTCGAAATTCTGGTAGAAATAAATGGTACTTCAGTCCCGGGATTTCTCCGTGATGACAAACGCTCTAACGAAAAGTTCATGGGTGAAAGTACTCCTCTCCGCTCCTCTCCGCTTGAACTTTGTTCCTGGACTGATTTGCCCTGGGGAGAGGGAATAGAGGGGGAACGGCGGGAATGTTGGTGTGAGAAGTTCTAGTATCCGTGTTTGCCAAAACCTAACACGTCACTTCACGGGTTCTGGTCTAATTATACCCATGAGAATCCGGGTTCATTAAAATAGAACACGTCGCAATCCGATTTTGATCTAAAATCACATGCTATTTTGTCAAAATCCGGGTAGTTACCCGTGAAAAATAAGCCATGCTGGTCGCTTGAGTCCATAATGCGTCGCACAGGCGCGTCAAGAGAAGGAACCACCCGATGCCACTGCTCTTGCGGTGTCGCACGGGAGATGCCAAAGGCAGCCAGCGGCAATCGAAGGTCAACGACAGGGTAACACAGGCGACAGGCTGTTCGTTCAGAGCACGGGGGGAAGGATGCAGTGGAGAGCAGAGCGATGTGTGGTGGGCGAAGGGTCGCTGGTTGCCCTGCTGGCCCAACGACAAAGCTGGCTGGTGGTGGATTTGCCCGACAAGGGCTGCTCGTGGGGCACGGCCACAGGTGCAAGATTCAGGGCCGTTGGCGAGATACATACCCGGTATAACAGCAACATCGCTTTCTCGGTGGCGACATGGAGGTTTTCGCTAATACGTATTTATACGCCATAGGAGCTGCTGCACATTGATTTGGGCTTTAACCAAGTTGAAGTATACATGAAGTTTAGTTTGTTACGCCATAGGAATTGTCGGCTGAAGGATGTGATGTGATACCAGTTACAGCATGTCGCTAAACAAGGACAATTTCTTCGTTACGCCACGCCAAATCTCCGCCACGCCAGATCCCTCACCTCCCAGCCAGTGCTACATTGCAATAGCTTCCCACCTCCCCGCACATACCACCGAGAATTCTGCACAACTTGCCTCGATTTCTCCCATATTCCCCCCAGCCGCATAGACCCACCCCAGTGGCATACATTCCCGCCGTGCGTCACGGGCTGGCCTTATCCTGGGCGCGGCCCGTCGGGCTACCACGTCTGGATCTGATCGCAATGCGCTGTGCCATCATGAGACGCGATCCTGCCCTGCGAACTTTCGTCGCAGTCGCCGCGTCGCTGGCCTTTCTCGTCGTAGCGTTCGCTCCTCGCCCGCTGCTCGCCCATCCTTCGCAATCGCTGGTCGCGGCTCCCAGCGGCATTCCGGCGACCAGCCGCTCGTCGTCGCATTCGTCGTTCGCTGTGCTTCCGCAGCGCCGACTGCTGCAAGCGCAGGTCAGCGCCAAGAGTACCCTGCGATTCCGTGCGACTCTGTGCGATTCTGTGTTTTGTGTGCTAGCGAAGATCCCTTTGGGCTGTTCGCATGCTCCAGCGATCAGAGTGTTCGAGGCTCTGGTGAATCCCTAGCGAGAGCCGTTTTAGGGTTTGCGTGAACCGCCTATCGTCATTGCTGCCAGACGACCGTCTCTCGCATGTTTTCTTTTGAATGAACTGCTTTTGTTTTCAGAACTGTTTTCTTGTCTTCTTCCTCCAGCGACCTCGTCATTCATCCACCCATCTCCCCTCAGCTTACAAGTAGCCATTCATGAGCCACGCCGCATCACACATCCACCCCTCATCCTCACATCCCCCCCTCCCCCCACCCGCCCCCGAATCTCTCCCCCATGTTCCGCCTTCCCCCCAGCCATGGCGCAAGCAGCTCGACGACACGCCGGGAATGTCGCTCTTTCGCGCGCGGGTTGATCTCGCCGCCGCGGAAGCTCTCTCCAAGCCCGCGCTCGGGGGGAAGTCCCGCGCGGGGGAAGGCCCTGGCGGAGCAGGCAGAGCAGGCGGAGCAGGCAAGGCTAGCGGAGCAGGCGGAGGCGGAAGCGGGGCCTCTGAAGTAGGGGCGGTAGTCGCAGGGGGGAAAAAACGCGCTCGGGGGAAACCCAAGGCGCTGGGCGCGGGGGGAACAGGCGCGGGGGACATGGGCGCGTACAGAGAGCCCGCTAACCCCTACGTCCCCACCCCCAAGCCCCTAGACGAGCCCGCCCCAGCAGACCCCAAGCCCACCCCCTCCGCCGAGCCTGCCCCCGACACCCAACCCGCCCTCCCCGAGCCTACCCTCACCGCTTCACCGAACGTGTTCGCAGCAGCGGCGGCAGCAGCAGCGTCGGCGGAGCCCGCGGCCCCGTTACAGCCGCTCTCTGAAGCCGGGCTGAGCAAGCGCCTGGTGCGGTCGCTGCGGGATCTCCGTCCGTTTGCGCGGATCAACATATCGACGGCTGTGGTGCAGCTGTTTGCGGAGATGGTGGACCACTCCCTCGCGCCTTGGAGCCGGATCCCCGCCGCCGCCAACGGCATGGGGCAGAGCGGCATGGTGTCGCCCTCGCTGCTGCGGTCCATCGCCATGCGGCCCCGGGTGGGTGGGTGGGGGGGAGGTGGGAGGTGGGGTGGGAGGGTGGGAGGTGGGGGGGAAGGGATGTGAGAGGGGGAAAGGGAGGGGGGCGGGGGGCATGGGAGGTCCCAAGGTGAGTGGCAGATGAGTGGTGGCGGATGAGTGGAGGCGGATGAGTGGTGGCGGATGAGTGGTGGCGGATGAGTGGTGGCGGATGAGTGGTGGCGGATGAGTGATGGCGGATGAGTGGAGGCGGATGAGTGGAGGCGGATGAGTGGTGGCGGATGAGTGGTGGCGGATGAGTGGTGGCGGATGAGTGGAGGCGGATGAGTGGTGGCGGATGAGTGGTGGCGGATGAGTGGTGGCGGATGAGTGGTGGCGGATGAGTGGTGGCGGATGAGTGGTGGCGGATGAGTGGTGGAGGGCCTGAGAGTCGAGTCATCAGCCACCCACCCAATCCCAACCTCCCCCGCCATCCACCCCCATTCCTCTGCCTTCCCCGCGTCATGTCGTGGGCGGGCCATGTGCCCGTGGTGGAGGGGCCTCACACTCTCTCCCCCCCTTGCTTCCCCCTCCATCCCGTTCCTTCCCCTCCATTACCTGCAACCTCCCTCCCCCTCCCCCCTCCCCCCCCCAACACACACATCGTGTCCCTCCCCCTCCCCCCCCGGCAGTTCATGTCGTGTGCGGGCGCCGTGCGAGTGGTGGAGGGGGCCGTCTATTTCCGCCTGGGCGGCTTTATTGACAACCCCTACCGCACCAGGCGCTTCCTGCAGATGGTCAAACGCATTCAGGTGGGCTCTCAGGTGGTCAAACGCATTCAGGTGGGCTCAGGTGGTCAAACGCATTCAGGTGGGCTCAGATGCTCAAATGCATTGAGGCGGGCTCAGGTGTTAAAACGAGTTCAAGTGGTGACAGGTGCTCAAATGCGTTCAGATAGGCTCGGAGCATGAATGGGTTTCTCACGCATCCAAACACCCCTCCTAGCTACACGTTTGAGACGCTCAATAACAGGTCCGTATCTCCCCACTTCATTCCCCCCTCTCCCCCTCTCCCCTCTCCCCATCTCTCCTCTTCCTCCTCTCTATACTCTCCCAGCACGTGGTCACAATGTTCCGCATGTCCTACCCGACATAAGCCCTATCTTCTTCCTTATGATTGTGAACTGCCCCCCAGTCACGCCGCCTCTACTCATGCCTGGGCTCTAACCCGCTCCTTTCTCATCCGTTCTCCTCCCCCCCTCGCCCGCCACAGCATGCGCTTCCATCTTTCCGCCTCTCCTCAGCTTTCCATATCGCCGGAGTTCTTCCTCTTTGGCGGCCACCTCCCGCCAGCCACATCCCCTCCTCACACCACTAGGCCCTCCCCCCCTCGCCCCCCCCCTCCTTCCCATCCCCCCCCTCACCCTGCACGGCACGCGGTGACCACGTTCCGCACGTGCCCTCCCTCCCTCGCAGCGGAGCTCGTCCTCAACGTCTGCCACCCGCCCCACCAGCCACATGCCCCTCGTGCCGCTACGCCCCCCCTCTGTATGCCCCCCTCACACGCAGCACGCGGTGACCAAGCTCCGCCTCTCCTCCATATCCGCGGAGTTCATCCTCCAACGTTTGCGACCTCCCTGCCAGCTATGCCCCCGCTCATTCCTCTGCCCCCTTTCCCCACGCTCCTCCCCACAGCAAGCGGTGACCAAGTTCCGCCTCTCCTCAACGTCTGCCACCTGCCCACCAGCTACCCAGTCGGTGACATGCATTCCCCCCTTATGCCCCGTCTGTCCCCCCTCGCCCCTCTAACCCCACAGCAAGCGGTGACCAAGTTCCGCCTCGCCTCCGTATCAGCCGAGTTCTTTTTGAACGTGTGCGACCTGCCCGCCAGCTACGACAACGACGTGGGCGGCTCGCGCAGCGTGGGCTTCCCGCTCTTCAGCACGCGCACCGTGGAGGGCGGCCTCGACATTGCCGTGCCGGACCCTCTTGATCTGAATGAGAACATCGACCTGCCGCCGCAGCCAGAGACCGAGGTACGTGGGGTTGGGCTGGGAGACACTCGTTAGCGTGTGTCCCCCCCGCCCCCCCCCCTTCAGCATGCGTGCCCCCCCCCTCTTCAGCATGTGGCCTGTCAAGGGCAGCCTTGACATCTCTGTGTCGGGCCTGCGGGATCTGAGCGCCCTGAGTGGATGAGCCTGCGAAAGGTGCTAGGGGAGACGTCGAATGGGGCATCCTGAAGTTCACAAAGAGTTTTATTTTTTTCACACACTGTGTCCTAGTGGGAAAAAAAAACCCTTAGAAGGAGAGGTCTTGGGATCAAACCCGCCCCCCGCCCCCCGACCACCGCCCACTGGTGGACGCCGCCCGCCGCCCGCCACCCGCTGCCCACCGGCCGCCCGCCACCCGCCGATCGCCGACTGCCCACTACCCACCGCCGATCGCCCACCGCCCGCCGCCCGCCCGCCGCTCGCCGGACGGCCGCCGACTGCCGACCGCCCGCCGTTCGCCCACCGCCCACCGCCCTACGGCCCACCGCCCACCGCCCTACGGCCCACCGCCCACCGCCCACCGCCCACCGCCCACCGGTGGATGCCGCCCACTGCCCACTGCCCACTGGTGGACGGACGCCGCCCACCACCCACCGGTGGACGCCACCCACCGCCCACCGCCCACCACCCACCGCTGCACTCCATCCGTACCTTGCACTCCGCCCACTGCCCACCGCCCACCGGTGGACGCCGCCTACCGCCCACCGTCCCCTGGTGGACGCCGTCCCCCGTCCATCGTCTACCGTGCCCCGGTGAACGCTATCCACCCTCCACCGTTCCACCGTCCACTGGAGTTGGGCACAAGCCGAGCCACACTTAGCTCGGCTCGGCTCGGCTCGCCTCTTTTTTGGTACCCGGCTTGACTCGAGCCGAGCCGGCTTGGCTCGACTCGAGCCGGCAGCTCGGCTCGGCTCGCGCACGTGAAATCAGGCAAGCCGGAGTCGACCCAGCCGGCTCGCGGCTCGGGAAAGGGGGGGTTTCGCGATTGTCAAATCTCAGATCGACAAACCTCCCGCACCCATTTCGTCTGCCAACCCTAACCTCACCCTGCTGCCCTCGTCTATCGCCCCCAGCCAGCCCTATTTAAACCTGCAGCACCTCTTGTAAGATGTAGCAGCAGATGATCAGCTAAACAATCTGGACCAGGCCCCGGACTAGAGACCCCAATTCCCGTGGCCCCAATTGAGAGCCCGCACAAGCCCCCCTGACGAGCCGAGCTGAGCAGGGGATCCTGAGGACCCGAGCCGAGCCGGCTCGGCTCGACTCCAAACAAGCCGAGCCGAGCCAGGCTCGGCTCATGCCCATGTCTACCGTCCACCGGTGGACGCTGTCCACCGTCCATCGTCCACCGTGCCCCGGTGGACGCCATGCACCCTCCACCGTTCTCCGTCCACCGTACACCGTTCACCGTCCGCCGTCCGCTGTCCACCGTCCACCGACCATGGTCCACCGGTGGACGCCATCCACCGCCCACCGCCCACCATCCACCGGTGGGCGCCGTCCACCGTCCATCGTCCACCGTGCCCCAGTGGACGCCATCCACCGTCCACCGTCCACCGGTGGACACCGTCCACCGTCCGCCGTCCGCTGTCCACCGTCCACCGGTGGACGCCGTCAACCATCCACCGTACATCGGTGGACGTTGTCCACCGTTCAGCTGCCCATCAGCAGCCTGCCTCCTGCTGCTCCCACCGTCGTCCTCTCAGTGCATCCCTTGTGCTCTCCATCCCCCCTCCCCTTTGTCTCCCCCCCTCAGGTGCCCTGGGAGGAGAAGGAGAGCCGCGCCATCTTCCGAGGACCCATCAGCAGCCTGCCCCTGGAGGACGTGCCCAACTGGCGCGCCAACCCCCTCATCCGCCTGCAGAGGTACCCGCATGTAACCTGGTTACCAGGTGAGTAACTGAGCCTTTTTTTTTTGTTCGAGGTGCCACCACGGTGCTGCCTGCTGCTGCTCTCTCTCGTCTGGCTCCGTCCCACTCGTCCCTCACCAGCACGCCCCTGCTTCCTTCTTGCCCCGTGCTCTTCCTCTGTCCCCTCCCAGGCTGTCAGAGGCTCGGCCGGACCTGCTGGACGCGAAGCTGTACGGGTGGAGCAGAGAGCTGGACCTGGAGGTCCGGAAGAGGTGAGACCTGGAGGTCCGGAAGGGGTGAGTTTTGGAGGCCCGGAAGGGGTGAGAGGCCCAGAGGTCAAGCAGAGGTGAGAGATGAGCAATAGAGGCCAGGAGGTGTGTACGCACACAGGGCGGTGGTTGGAGACAAGTTATGGCCCCACGTTCCTACACCCACTCCCTTCCACCCATTCCCCTCACCCCTCTCCCTCACGCTGCTGTCAGAATGAAGGCGGGCGGCGTGGTGACGCAGGGCAAGGCGGCGCTGTGAGGGAGACACCTTATGCTCCCACTCTCTTCTCCGCCCTCCTCCCTCTCCCTCCGCCAGAATGAAGGCGGACGGCGTGGTGATGCAGGGCAAGGCAGCGCTGGGGGAGGCGTCGCCGTGGCGCTTCAAGTACGGCATCGTGGCGGGCAGCGCGCACCACCACCAGATGTGCCCCATCCTCACCAGCGGCGCGCAGGTGAGAGACGCATGTGCCCCATCCCCACCAGCGGCGCGCAGGTGAGTGAGAGACGCATGTGCCCCATCCCCACCAGCGGCGCGCAGGTGAGTGAGAGACGCATGTGCCCCATCCCCACCAGCGGCGCGCAGGTGAGAGACGCATGTGCCCCATCCCCACCAGCGGCGCGCAGGTGAGAGACGCATGTGCCCCATCCCCACCAGCGGCGCCCAGGCAAGATATATTTTCTTGGCACTCCCAGTATGGCACCCAGATAGCCGACTCTCTCGAGGGGAGGGACTCGCTTTACTTGGGTTTAGAGTCTGTCTGAACCCATGCTCGAGCCGTTTGTCCTCCTGAGTCCGAACATCCTTGCATCCACTCCCGTCCTTCTTGGCATCCATCCGTCCGTGCGGCCCGCAGGTGGCGATCCGGCAGGACTCGCCGTACTCGGAGTTCTTTGTGGCGATGCTGAAGCCGTTCGTCAACTTCATCCCTGCCAATCGGCACTTTGACAACCTCATCGAGAAGCTGCGTTGGGCGCAGAACCACGACAAGCATGTGCGCAACATGGCGCTGGCGGGCAAAAGAGTCTCCAAGTGAGTTGGTTGGTTGGGGTGGTAAGGGCGTCTCGTGCTAACTCTCGCTGCCGCTGCTGCTGCTGCTGGTGCATGCTGCTTGAACGCTGATTGAGCCACGACAAGCACGTGCACAACATGGCTGCAGTGGGCAAGAGTGACTCCTGGTAAGCCAGTCTTCATGCATGCACGTATGTGCGTTGTGCACATCGCTACGCCATCATCACACCCCCAATCCCCACTATCTCAATCCCCAACCTGCTGTTTTCAACTTATGCTCTCACAATGTGCTCTCTTTCCCTCGTCTCAGGTGGGCGTGCTCCAAGCAGGGCCACGCGCTGTACTGGGCTATCCTCCTTATAAAGTACTCCCATAACGCCATGGAGGACCCGTCTCTCGTCAGGCCTCCAGGGAAGCAGCTGTGCCGCAAGGCCCTGAGCCCCGCCATCATCGCCCTAGCCGACCCCAGCAGCACGGGCAGCAGCCAGGCGCCCCCTCTGCCCACGGATTGGCCGCCGGCGTGCAGTGAGGAGGATCTGGCGCGGGTGAAGCAGCCGGCGTGCGTGTTCTACTGCCGCAAGGGCATCATTCTCACCAAGACCCACACCTGGGTGTCGGCCGATGTGCTGGCGGCCCCCTCAGCCGCGCAATAGAGGGGCGCACCAGCTGTAGCTGTAGGGCTTAGCGTTGGTGCTCTATTGCCAGAAGGGAAATAGTCATCCCTCTCATTGTCTGTAGTGTTAGCCAAATATTACAACTGTTTGTTGTGCCCTTAGGATGTGTACCTCATACGCTATTGAATTTTGCACAAACGCAGATTCTCAGAGAGACCCTTGCTCATGCAGGTTGCCAGCTCATGGCCACGTGTCCCATTCATCAATCTCGATGGGAATTCGCCCCTCCGTCCCATACCGCCATACCGCCAACCACCCAGCCCAGCCCATTCCCTCGCGCGCCCCTGACATGACAGCCTGTGCTAGCCGCGCCATTCTTGCCCTGCGCGCATACCATCCCGCCAAGCTTGAATCCCCGCGTCGGATTCCCCCAGTCTCTGCACCTGTGCGCTGCGTGCTGCGCTGAGCTCTCCGCGCGCCGTTCCGCGCTAGCCGGTCATGCTTGCCCGAGCAGCGGCGCGCCTCACCTCCCTCGTTTCCTCTCCGCTGGCATCCAGCTCCACCTCCCTCCTCGCCTCTTCTCCCTCTCTCCGCGCCGTCTCTCTCCCCGCACTCGCTCCCCTTCTCCCGCACACTCCGCCACGCGTTTCCACGCCTTCCCCCTGCCCCTCCGCCGTGCCGCATCGCGCCATGGCCACGTCATCCGCCCCTGAGATCCCGGCGACGCAGCGCGCAGCTACAGTGCTCGCATTCGAGGGGCCCAAGCGACTCGCAGACAACCTGCGGCTCGTCGCAGACAAGCCCGTCCCCAGCCTCGGCCCGAACCAGGTCCTTGTTCGGATGCAGCTTCGGCCCGTGAATCCCGCGGACGGCCTCTGCGCCATGGGCTACTACCCGGGATTCGCGCCGGCAAGCGCGCTCCCCGCAACTCTCGGGCTCGAGGGCATGGGGGTCGTCGCGGCGCTGGGCGAGGCGGCAGCACAATCGGCGCCGGATCTAGCGGTGGGGCGGCGCGTGGTGCCGCTGCTGGCGCTGGGCGCGCTGGAGGCGGGCAACGGCGCGTGGCAGGAGTACCTGGCGGTGGACGCGGCGCATGTGGCGGCAGTGCCCGCGGGGGTGAGCGACGAGGACGCGGCGCAACTGGCGGTGAACCCGCTGACCGTGGTGGGCATGCTGCGCGAAGTGAATGTGCCGCGGGGTGAGTGGGCTGGGCATGCTGATGGCGCTGCACGCGGCGCAGGGTGAGGCAGATGCATGCGGCAGTGAGCCCGCCTCCATGTGCGCACCTCGCCTTGTGCACCCCGCACACACACTCCCCCTCTTCATTCTCGCTCGCTCCTCCCCATCACCGCCATCCAGCATTCCGTGTGGTGTGTTGCACGTGCAACTGCACATAGCATCCACACCTCCCCTCCTCCCTTCCACTGCTCCCCCCTTCCCCTCCTCCTCCCCCCTTCCCCTCTCCCCCCCACCCTATCCCAGGAGAGTACGTGGTGCAGACGCAGGCGGGGTCGACGCTGGGCCGCATGCTCATCCAGGTGGCGCGCGCGCGCGGCATCAAGACCATCAACGTCGTGCGCCGGGCCGCCCAGGCCGCCGAGCTCAAGGCGCTGGGCGCCGATGAGGTGAGCAGAGGGGGGGGCTTGGGGAGGGGGGAAGGCTGAGGAGAGAGGCTGGGGGTAGATGAGGAGGGTGGGAGGTATGATGGGGGAAGAGTGAAGGAGTGAGCGGATGATGCAGAGCGATGCAGACATGCATGAGCGGCCTGAGTTCTGGCTGTTAAGATGAGCTGTAAGAAAACGAGGGATGCCAAGCTAGTGGAGCTTCATCGGGTCTCAATCCTCACGTGCCTTCCATCTCGTCCTATCGCCTTCATCCCCATGCCCATGTCCGCACCCATGCCCATACCCATGCCCATGCCCGCACCCATGCCCATCCCCATGCCCATGCCAATCCCGATCCCCATCCCCATGCGCAGGTGATTTGCTCCACGGACGAGAATGTGGCAGAGAGGGTGGCGGCCATCACGGGGGGGCGCATGGCGCATGCTGCGGTGGAGAGTGTGGCGGGCGACCTCACCGGCGCCGTGCTCTCCTCCGTGCGTGCGGGCGGCACCGTGCTCATGTTTGGCGGCGCCTCTGGGGCGAGCTTCACCGGCTCCATTGGGGACTTCATCTTCAGGTGACCTGCTGGGTGAAGCCTCTCCGCATTTTGAAACGCTTGCATTATCCACAATAGTGCTTTGCTAACCAAACAAACCTTCGCATCCCCCCTCCCCCCCTCACCCCCCCCTCTCCCCCCCTCTCCCGCCCGTTCTTGATGACCCAGGGATGTGACGCTGAAGGGCTTCTGGGTGGGTCGTTTCTTGAAGGCGCTGAGCCACGAGGAGCGGCAAGCAATGGCGAAGGAGGCATTTGATTTGATAGCGGGCGGCACAGTGACCCCGTTCACCGGGGACAAGATGGACCTTGGCGAATTCGCTGCTGCGCTCAAGAACCAAATGGTGGAGAACCGCCAAGGAAAGATCCTCCTTTATGGGTAGATGTGAATATGATTGGCAAGATACATTATATTGGAGATCTCATTATTTGGACAATACTTATAATGGGTCTACTTCTTGTAGCTGTTCATGGCTTTCTGTTCACCTGGTTCGTTACAATTCCCTTCGTCATGCGACTGAGGGTTTTACCGAGATTCCCGACCGAGCCTTGCTGGAAGCAAGCGAACTGGCTGTTGGTTGGTTGCGTGTCGGACGCCTTTCGCGAAGGCTCCAGTGCCGTCGCACGCGTTCGCCACCTCCTTGGGGGTGGTTGTGCCGCGGGCGAGGGTTCCTCGGCTCAAATCCCCACAACCCCGCCAGCGCTCATTCAGATTCAGTCATTCACCGCTAGCTTACCACTTCAGTGCACGAGCTCCTTAGTAAACCACTAGCCCCGCAATTCCCTAGGTTCGTCGCTTTGCCATTCCAAGTCCTTTCGTGTCGGGTAACTGTGCAATAGTTTCTCTTTCCTCTCTACTTCAACTCGTTCGAGCGTTGGTACTCTGAAGGCGCGTGCCACCGCGTTTACCACGAGGCTAACGACAGCTTTTCCACAGCACGCGCATCGCTTTCAACCATGGCAGTCAGTAAGCACCTATTCCGTCCTCAGCTGTCCTCCGTCTGACCGGCGTCGTCTCCGTCACCTTGCTCGCCGGACGGATTCCCCTCTCCCTTGACTGACGCTCGGTTATTCTTCACCCGAACCCTAATCTTTTGTCTTCCTCTGTGTTTCTCTATCCCGATGTTCTCATGTCCCTCCCTCCCCTTCACCGTGTCTCGTGCCTTGCTACGCCACGAGCGACCCCATCTCCATCTCCCCGTCCCCTCGTGCCCCTGTTCCTCCGTCCCTGCGTCCTGCCGTGCCCGCCGCCAGGAGCGCAGTTCGAGAACAGCAGCGAGGTGGGCGTGTTCTCGAAGCTGACGAACGCGTACTGCCTGACGGCGGTGGGCGCGTCGGAGAACTTCTTCAGCGTCTTCGAGGCCGAGCTGCCCGACATCCCCGTCGTTAAGGCCTCCATCGCCGGCACACGCATCATCGGTCGCATGTGCGCAGGTAAGGGCTGCATGTGCGCAGGTGAGGGTTGCGTGCGGTCTTTAAAGCCAGCGTCTCATAATTCCGGAAACTTTCCAAGCGTTAAACGCTTGGTACCAGGTTACACGGCCGAAAGTAGGAGGAGAGGTTAGGGAAAGCCCGTGAGAGGGTGGAAGCAACCAGGGGCGAAAGCGAGTGTAAAATCGGGGGCACCACGGTTCCGTGAAATATGAGACTGCTCAGAACCTGGGAAGTAGCTTGCAATTGGTACTGTGGGCCGTTAGATCTGTCCCAATTTCAGATCTGACGGTCAGCTCCCTAGGCAGTTGAATCGACGGTTCGTAGCGAAGTAGAAAGTAAGAGCAAAAAAATTGGATTGTTGGCCGTTGGATTTCCGAAGTGTGACTGGCTCGGTGCGAAACCAAAGCCGAGCCAACTTTGCCCGAACCAGGATTTCGGTTTGGGAAGTTTGCGAAACAAAAGGGCCTCGCTACCTGCGTTTCGTTTTCACCAATTCTTCAGCACCTCGCCCTCCAATCACCGAATGGCTTCCCCAACCAAGTGTTAAATAGTTGGAATTGTGAGACCCTGGCTTTAAGCGGGTTTTATGCGGGCTTTTCGGGTTGCGTGTTCGCAAGAGTGGGTTGTGTGTTGAGCTTTAACTTATAGTGATGGTTATGCCAAGAATCGATTCCTCACATGGCGTGACGGAGTGGCGTGTTGACTTGTGTGCTTCTGTGTGCCTCTGTGCGTGCAGGCAACAAGAACGGTCTACTGCTACCCAACTCCACGACGGATCAAGGTGAGCGCGCTGAAGCGACTGGCATCCGCGTGGTTGGAAAATGCCAAGCGTGGCTGGGAATGTCGTATGTGGAATGCCAACCAAGCGTGGTTTGCTTCCTCCATGCCGTCCTCTCAAACCCTTTACTGCCCTTTACACCAGCCCCCCTTCCCCCCCCCCCCCCCCTCCCCTCCCTCTCCCCCGTTCCATCCCTTCCCCCGAACCCTCTCTCTTTCTTGCCCCCACTCCCCTCGGTTTCTCTGCTCCTCTACCCCTCATCGTTCTTCTGCATGTGAAAGCAACGATCGTGAATATATTCCACTTGCACACATTTCTGCCTTCGCTCTCCCTCCGCTGCTCTGCCCTCTCCTCACCTCGTTTCTCCCCTCCCCACCCCTCGCCTGCCTCCCCTTCCCTCCCCCTTCCCTCCCCCTTCCCTCCCCCTTCCCTCCCCCTTCCCTCCACCTTCCCTCCCCTTCCCTCCCCTGCCCTCCCCCTTCCCTCCCCCTTCCCTCCCCCTTCCCTCCCCCTTCCCTCCCCTTTCCCTCCCCCTTCCCTCCCCCTTCCCTCCCCCTTCCCTCCCCCTGCCCTCCCCCTTCCCTCCCCCTTCCCTCCCCCTTCCCTCCCCCTGCCCTCCCCCTTCCCTCCCCCTTCCCTCCTTCATACACGCACCTCCCGCGCCCGCGCCCCAGAGCTGCTGCACATGCCCAACTCGCTGCCCGACTCCGTGCATTTTTTAACCCCCTCGGTTAACCCCCTCCATGTCCCCCCCCAAACCCCCCCCCCTAACCCGCGCCCTACTGACATCCGCCCCCCGCCACTCGCCACAGCTGCTGCACATGCGCAATGCAACGCACTGCCCGACTCCATGGTGGTGCAGCGGGTGGACGAGCCCCCTGCATGTCCCGCCGGCCCTGCTTATGTTCCCCCTCCTTCCCCCCCCCCGCCCTTGATCCCCTTTCCCCCCCTATCCCCCCCCCCGGCCCCGCTCCCCCTTCCCCCCCATACTCTCCCCCAACACATCCTCCCCCATTCTCTCTCCCTCCCCCCCCAGAGCTGCTGCACATGCGCAACGCGCTGCCGGACTCGGTTGTGGTGCAGCGTGTGGACGAGCGGCTGTCGGCGCTGGGCAACTGTGTCAGCTGCAACGACTACGTGGCGCTCATCCACACTGACCTCGACCGGGTGCGCCTTGCCTTCAACGCTTGCATGAGTTGCTGATACATTCTGGCATCGCAAGAGAGGCACCAGTATAAACAGGCCGGCTGTGCTCACGCATGAGTGGAGTGGATGTATGGGATGGGACCTGACTGGGACCAGCAGGGGTGCAGTGATGATAAATTTCCAGTGGGTGATCTCACATCACATGTGAGACGTGAGCCCTACACTTTGGCTTGTATTCCCTGAGCACCGATCCGACTCTTATTGTGACGCTCATTTCTTGTTGCTCGTGCCGGCTGTGCAATTCCGTTTGCCATGTTCCTCCTATTTCACTCAGCCCGTTGCAGGACTCTCTCCCTGCGTGTGTGTGCCTCTTGGACATTCCAGCTGCCCTAGCCGCACGTACCTCTTGCTCCTGCCTCCCTGTGGAATGCACTGACACTGCTTATACACTCATGCGTGCAGCAGTCACAGCACAGTCACTCATGCCCTCTCCCTCTCGCTCTCTTTTGTTCTGGCTTGCTGCATTTCTGTGTGGGCGTGCAGGAGACGGAGGAGCTAATAGCGGACGTGCTGGGAGTGGAGGTGTTCAGACAGACCATCGCGGGGAACATCCTTGTCGGCAGCTACTGCGTCTTCACCAACCGAGGCGGGCTGGTCAGTCACACGCACACCTGCTGCGCCCCCGCCCTCCCCTCTCCCCCACCCCTCTTTGCCTCACCATTCCACCACCCACTCCCCCCCCCCCCTTGCACCTGCTCCTCCTGCTCCGCTGCTGCTGGTTTACAGCTGTGAAGGGATGCTGTGTGGGCAGTGCCATGTAACCCTTGCATGCCTCCATGCTTCCATTCCAATTCCCCATGTGCGACCGCTGACTGCGCCACCAGGTGCACCCACAAACATCTGTGGAGGATCTGGACGAGCTGTCATCATTGCTACAAGTGCCCTTGGTGGCCGGTACAGTGAACCGCGGCAGTGAGGTGGTGGGGGCGGGGCTTGTGGCGAACGACTGGGCGGCATTTGCAGGGTTTGATACAACGGCCACGGAGCTGTCTGTCATTGACAGCGTGTTCAAGCTGAGGGAGAGCGTGGCTCCCAGCGTGGTCCATGAAATGCGCGCCTCGCTCATTGACACCCTTGTATGATCGTGCCGTGCAGGCCAGTGGGAATTGCTGGATGGTTGGTTGCGTAGCTGAATTATGCATTTGCTTGCTGTTTGTGGTGCTGCTTGTGGTCCTCCTACAAGTTGATGTTGGAGGACTTGATCAAATGTTTTGGCTTGGCATGTCAGTTCTTCATATCAAACAGTAAAATTAATGAATAGAGAGAGAGAGTACACAAACATATACCTAACTGTTGTACTCTCTAGAAGATGACCCTATACAGTCTATACAAGCATGATAACTAAACATGTTTGACACACCCCCTGGACTGCATAGGGGAATGTTCTAGACAAGCAGCTCAGGGTGGCACTACTAGTCCAGCCTCTGAGACAAGGGTCTAAAAGACCAGTCAGAAGGAGTACAGGCAAGGCAAGAACTAGTACAGGGCGGCACTACTAGTCCAACCACTGTAAGAGGACACAAGTCCAGTCTGAGTGTACACACAGATATATAGGACAGTACAGAGTCAAGGCCCGAGTAAGTGAGAGACTACAGGTACCAGACCAAGCTGCACACAGTGCCGCTGATGATCTTTAGGCGCAAGCGCCTTCGTAAAGATATCAGCTGTGTTGGCACCGGAGGCTAAGTGTACTACGCGAGCCTGGCGACGCTGCTGTAGCTCACGCAGGAGGAAGTACCGCAGCTGGATGTGCTTCGCTCTGCCCTCGAGTCGAGGCTCCTGACACAGGAGGATCATGGCCCTGTTGTCAGCGTACAGGACCGGGGCAGAGCTAGGCCGCTCACCTAAGTCAGTGAGCAAGAAGGTCAGCCAGCGGAGCTCCTGTGCCGCCATGGCACCAGCGTAGATCTCGGCCTCACAGCTGGACTGGGCAACAGACGAAGAGCGGGTAGCTCTCCACGAGACAGCACCTGAACCAAGGCTAAAGCAGTAGCCCTGGGAAGACCTGAGCGTCTCGGCGTCGTCTGCCCAAGAAGCGTCTGTGTGTCCAGTAAGGACCACTGGCCTGCGTCCGCCTAGCACTAACCCCATGCCCGATGTACTTGCAAGATAACGCAAAACCCTCTTAGCGGCAGACCAGTGCTGAGGTCGGTGCCTGCCTGTGGCCACGAAACGAGCCAGGATGCTGAGAGGGTATGCGAGATCTGGGCGAGTGCAAGTCATCAGGTACATGAGGCAACCCACTAGCTCAGCGTAAGGACCACTGGGATCTACCGACTCCTCAGGAACTGGAGCGGAGAGTCTGTGGTCCAGAGGAAGAGGGGTGGGCTGTGCGGAGGAGAACTGAAGGCCGAACCTCTGAAGGACCTGGCGCACCAAGTGTGACTGAGTCAGGGTGATGGTGCGCGCAGCTCTGTCCCTGGAGATCTGCAAGCCAAGGTAACGGCGCAGCTCTCCAAGGTCAGTGCAGGTGTGTCTCTTCAGCAGCTCTGCCTTCACGGAGGCCAGTGCGTCCCTGTCAGCAGTGGCAAAGACCAGGTCGTCTACGTAGACGAGGATGTAGAACGGAGTCGAGCCAGCACGAACGAAGAGCGAGGGGTCTGCAGAGGACGGAAAGAACTGCAGGTCAGCAAGGGTAGCACGCAAAGTGTCGTGCCACTCACGAGGCGCCTGGCGCAGGCCGTAGACTGGCCGCCGCAGAAGCCACTGGGTCCCAGGGGGGAAGGTGCCAGTAAAGCCCTGAGGGCGACGCAGGTAGACCTGCTCGTGAAGGCTGCCCTGAAGAAAGGCAGTGGAGAAGTCGAGGGAGTGAAGCTCGTAGTCACGCTGAGCCGCTACGTGTAGCAGCACCCGAAGAGTAGTCATCTTCGGGGTAGGAGCGAAAGTCTGAAAGAAGTCCACCCCCTCGCGCTGACTGAAGCCTCTAGCCACGTAGCGCGCCTTGAACACAGGCGGCTCTCCAGGAGGGCGCTTCACCTTGAAGAGCCAACGGCCATCGACCACGTTCACCCCAGGTGGGGGAACTGCGTCGACAAAGGTGCCGGTGGATCTCCAAGATGCCATCTCCTGCTCCATGGCAGCTATCCACTGAGAGGCCCAGGGTCCCGAAACCGCCTCAGCGTAAGTACGAGGGGTCGGGATGTCGAAAGCGTCTGGGTCACCCTCAGGGACTAGCAGCATGGAACAGAGATGGGGAGCAGCCTCGGACAGGAAAGCAAGCTCAAACTGGCGGTCCTCCAGGACGTCACTGCCGAGGGCAGGAGCACCCCCGACAGACGGAGGACAGGCAGGGTCAGAGACCAGAGCGGTGGCGTAGTCAAGGCGGCGGGTAGAGGCGAAGTCAGCGACCGCAGCGACGAGGGCGTCAAGACTCGACACGGGAACAGACGGGTCGGTAACGAGAGAGGCAAGGACCCGAGGAACAAGAGGACGAGCGGCACGAAAGGAGTCGGACAGAGGAGGAGACGCAACGACAAGAGAAGACGGAGGAGGAGACGGGAGGAGGGGAGGTCGAGACGCGTGGGAACGGAGCAACATAGGGTGAGAGCGCGGGACAGGGGAGACAGGACGAGCACGAGAGGGGCGTCGAGACCTGACGTGTGAGGGCGGCGTCGGGTCAGGAGACAGAGGAGGGGACACAGGAGGGGAACGAGGGGGAAGACGAGCCGGGGACGAGTCTGGCAGAGGGAACACGGGGCCGTAGACGGGAAGAGGGGGAGGCGGCAGGAGAGGAACAGGCGCAGGGTCAGGAGACGGAAGGCCGAGCAGACGGAGGGCGGACACAGGCGGGGACTGCTGCTGCGGCGACACAACACCAACACCAGGGCCACAAGCTGCGCGACGGCTGCCTCCCGAACCCTCCACACCTGCACCCCCAGAAGGGACACCCCCAGAGTCCACAAACGGCGGCAGCGACGACAGCGGCGGCGGCGGCGGCGGCTGCAGCGACGGCTGCGACGGCGGCGGCGGCGGAGACGACGGCTGAAACGGCGGCGGCGGTGGAGACGACGGCTGCAGCAGCTGCGGCGACGGCGGCTGCGGAGGCGGTGGAGGAGGAGACACCGGGGGAGGGACAGACGGCGAGGACTGCGCCGGAGGACTACCAGAGTCAGAAGACTCGTCAACCGGGACGACCGACGGGAGGGGGGTGACGTGAGACACACCAGAGGGGGCCGGACGGGGGGGCGGGGGGGGGGAGGGGCAGGGACCACCAGGGAGGGAGGAACCAGGAAAAGGGGGGGAGTAACCGGGGGACCACGGTGGGGAAAGCGGCGGTAGAAGGAGACGAACTCGTCAAAGGTGACGTCGCGAGAGTGAAAGAAGCGGTGAGACGGCGGGTGGTAGAAGTGCCAGTCGGACGCGTCAAGGGGGAAACCGAGGAAGACGCAGGGGAGGGTGCGGGCAGTGAGCTTGTCCGTGCCAGAGGCACGAACGTGAGCAAGGCAGCCCCAGACGCGGAACGCAGACGCGTCACCAGGGGACCCGGTCCACAGAAGGGTCGGCGAAACCTGCGGCCGCTGGGGGTGCGGCCACAGGTTAAGCTGGTGAGCGGCGTAGCGCACGGCGAACGGCCACAGAAAATGGGGTGCACCGGCGTGGATCATGGAGGTGCGAGCCACCTCCATGACCAAACCGATGCGTCGCTCAGCGACCCCATTCTGCTGCGGGGAGTCCGGCAGGGTAAACGTCTGGGTGATGCCCTCCGCACGACAGAAGCGACCAAGGACACCTGAGGCAAACTCGCCACCCCGGTCGGAGTGAAGGCGCAAGGCAGGGAGACCGCGGTGGACGCGAGCAGAGACAAGCCAGGGGATGAGAACGTCAGGCACGTCGGCCTTCCGCTCCAGGGGGAAGACGGTGGTGTAGCGCGTGAAGTCGTCGACAAGCACTAGGAAGAAGCGCTCGCGACGCGGCCCATGGACCGGGGCTGGGCCCCAGACGTCCATGTGCAGAGTCTGCAGTGGTGCGGTGGTAGGGGGAAAAGAGGAGGAGTGAGGGGCACGGCGGAGCCGGCCCTCGACACAAGGCGTGCACGGTGGGGCGGGGGAGGAGGGAAACTCGGGGAACGAACCGGGGAGACCAAGGACGAGACCGTGCTGGGACATGTGACGCAGACGTGGGAGTGCAGGGTGACCAAGGCGGTGGTGCCAAAGGAGAGTCGGGTGAGTGAGGGACCGACAGGAGCACGCGGCTGCAACCTGGGTGGACGCAACTACCGGGGGGGAAGACCCAGCCGGGGACGGCGCGGTGTCAAGTGTGAACAGGCCGGACACCGGGTCCCGGGGGAAAGTGGACAGGGGGGCACCAGTGGCGGCCTCGGTACAGACAGCATACCGCTCGTGACCCGGGAACGTAGTGGTGACGCCAAGGTCCTGGAGGCAGCCGACACCAACTAGGTTCCTGGAGAACGAGGGGATATGCAGACCTGTGAGAGTGCCCGAAGGAACCGCCGGACAGGGGAGGGAGGTGGAACTGCGGGCAACGACGGGACCACCGGAGGGGTCAGCAAGAGTAACTGCAGCGGGAACAGGCAGCGGCGTCAGCGTCGTGGAGTCGCGGAAGAAACACCGGGAGGCGCCAGAGTCCAAGGTGAAGGAAAGCGCAGCAGTCGCGCGAGGCAGCAGTGAAGCGGTGGAAGCACCAAGGCTAAGCAAAGCAGGAGATCCTACGCCTGACGCAGCAGGGGAGTCGACGCTAGGCACCGCTACACTAGGCAACACGGGGTAATAAGAGGGAAGCACACTAGAGTCATCAGCATACATCACATGCAAGGCCGCTACAATGGCATCCATGTCCAAGTCAAAAATCCTAATGCTACGCCTAAGCAAGCTGTGCCAGTCCGGGAGGTCGGGCGCCGGGCCAAAGCGCTGGCGGAACAGGTCGTCCAGGCGACGAAAACAGCGAGGAGTAGAATGACCGATCTTACTGCAAACGAAGCCGCGGCGAGGACCGGTCTGGATCTGGTACTGACAGGGCCCGCCTCCAGAACCACCACCCGGTGCACCACCACGCGCACGACCACCACCAGCTCCAGGCCACCCAGGTGGGAGAGTACTCGCCTGCCTCGTCTGCGGCGGCTGCTGCGGCTGCTGCGAAGGCTGCGGCTGCGGCGACTGCTGCTGCTGCGGCTGCTGCAACTGTGGAGGCAGCGGGGCAGCTGGACCGGGCAGGGTCCCCACGTCCGCACCGGCACCGGACGACCCGCCTCCACCACTACCCCCACCCGCACCCCCGCCGCCTCCGCCGCTCCCAACCTTGGGGCGGCGGCCCTTCGCCGAGCGGGACTGCACTGCAGCAGCAGTCTCAGCCACAGCGACAGAGCCGTCGGAGAAGGTACACTGAGCG